GATAAAACCTAGCCCCATAGGGAGACCCCTGTATATAGAGTCGCATAATTTCGTTCCAGTTGTCCACAAACCTACCGGCCTAGACTAAGCACTATGAATATGGATACCAGTACAAAAGCGACCAGTGTATGGATATGTACAGGATAGGTTAACATACAATACAATAATATAAAACACTTTGTATGATTACGATAATTCAGTTTAGCTTTAATTCCGATACCCTACAAGGACGAAAACAAATCCAATCTTAACAGAAAGTAACCGCGAGCAATGTCGGCTAAATGCAGCGAACGAACTTTTCATGTTCGTCTAACTTCTTTAGAATACGTAAAATAAAACGATTTTCATCAGTGTTCCTGTCTAGACGTAATTTTAAACCGGGGCCACAGTCTGCGACAGGAGTATTGCCCGACTATCTGACCCGAAATGTCTAAAAAGCAATTTGAGGTAGAGATATTTTCTAAATTATCTTTCTTCAAAATTGGTTTAAGTTATCCATTCTGACAAGTTGAATTGTCTTTAAATGTGTCACGATTGTTCTCTAAGCGGCTTTAAATTTCAGCTGATAAGAATTCAATTATCTCACGTATTTCTTTATCATATTTTATATAAGCGTTTCTGCGATTACAATGTTCACTGATGATGATCACAATGTTGTTCGTAATTAAAATCATCACGTAATTAAAAAAAAAAAAAAAAAAGGACCTTTAAGCCAGTTTTCCAGCTTAATAAAGTTATGATTTCACACGTCATTCCCAATGAATCGTCTAGCTTGATTCTTTATTACTGGCTCGCTGTTTAGTTTTGTTGGAGTACTGCTAAATACCAAATATCGCTTCTGTCGAGCCACAGATAAGTGTGGGGCTTAATATTACACTCATTATAATAGGTGAGCTTCGGTTTTAATAGCAAATTATCCTCTATTATTTCTAATATTTTATACGAGTCGTGTACTGGCATTCTCAACCAATAGCAATTTTCTCTTACACCCGATTTTTTTCCCGTAAGGGTCGTGCACATCGAACGCCCCTTCGCTTAGGCACTTCTGTAGAAACTTAATAGAACTTGTAGTATGGATTATTGAATTACTAATATTCTAATCGATTTTTACACAACCGTTTACTTGTCAACACAAATAAAATTACTGCTTTTCTCAAATTTGACACGCATGAAAAATTGTATTCATACACAATACCACAAGCTAAGAGCTTGCCGTCGTTATAACATCCTAGGGTAAACGAGCATTGCCGCCTGATAATCAAGGACACCTCAACTGGTCAATCTCCAAAATTGCATGCTAATGCTTTAAAGCTGAAACGGTCAGCAATAATCTATGTTTAGGATGTTGCACCCTTTTAAACATCAACCTTGCGCTTGTGTCGAGACGGTTTATATTTTTGTCTGTGTATATATATATATATATTCTCAAAAAGTCCACTAGCGATCGTTTTGATTAAAAAAAACGAAACAATAAGCAAAATTCTAAATTCTGTCTGCAGATTTGTCTCTATTGAACGGAGAAAACTCGAAAAATAAAATAACTGGTTTGTACCCCGAATAACAGTAAAACCCTCTGACTCGATCGAGTGGCACAGAAATGTCCCCCCACTTAAATTTTACGGCGAACCAAAGCAAACGGCCAAGTAGTTGGCTTCGACGGCAAATTGTCCGGAAAAGGCATCGAGTTTTAAAGCGTCAGAACCGTCGTCTTAGTGAAAGACGTTACAGCCAGCACTTGGGAGGGGGCGCTTTACCGGAATACTTCGTTGAGCCAGACGTCACTTTAAACCCAAGTGGATATCACTGGATAGTTTTAGCCTCTGCCTTCGTTCTCGCGACTATTGGAAAATTTGTGGGGCTTCAGTACATGCCTTAAGGCTAATCATAATACACTCACCCGGTCAACAATAAATCTGGGCCCTCCATAACCTGTCAGTAGTGTATTTGCTGCTATGTAGAGAGGCCTACTGCGTATTAGATAGGTTTAGTGTAGACCCGATTATCCTAGGCATACAGTAGGGGGGCAGGGAAGTTATCAAGCTGTACAAAGTTAATAGCAAAATTTTTTCGGTAGCAGAGAATTATATATATATATATATATAGAGAAAGTATAATTGACTGAAGCTGCTATATTGAGCTTAAGCAAATTCACGTGACCTAGATCGATAGTGGTCCAGGTGCATGGCGTCCACAAACCTGACACCGAACCTCTAAGTCATTTACTTTGAATGGACCACGAGAAAAGAGCTGGCGCCTCGTAACTTTAATCAGCTCCTAATAACCTATTAAAGGAGACCTTGAACTCACGGATGCGGTCGAAAATGATTCATGAAGTATGCTGTCCTGCCGTAGGCTAGTCATCGTTTTACAACTTTATCATTTTTTTGTTGCAACGGTTTATGTAGCCCACTTTTATTTCATAGTATAATAATTGCTTGATACGAACGTGTTTCAAATAAAACTTTATAAAAAAAATCCATCCCCCTCCCTCACTTGCAAATGACCCCCCACCCACCTTCCCCAGCGACGTATCCACTCTACAAATCACAACTTTGCCACTTTAAGTGTTCTATATCTCATACCTTTACATAGCTTATTCACGCGCTGTTCTTCTTCAATAACCTATAGGATTTGCTTGAGGAATAATGCTAAGCAATTTACACACAGGTCTAAAGTCAACGCCATGCTTTTTAATCGTTTCAGGCAAGTAAGCAAGGAAAATTGATCAGTGAACAACTTTTCTTGCTTACTCAAGACGTAAATGGTTAACCGATACTCTCACTATTGCAGCAAACTAGGTGACTGGTCAAATTCAGCAAAAATATAAAAGCAATGAAATCTTAAAGCCGAAGCTATCTGCACTTGTCAAAAAAAAGCGACGGTGTACTACTGTTAGTGTTTATGGCTTGCTTCATTTCATCTTGCATACGATCTTTATAGATATCGATACTGAACTTTATGGCAACATCTTCTAATCTGTTCAATCAGAAATTTTCTTTAGTATAGTCGAGAAATGTTTCCAGTTAATTTATGTTTATTGTAGTTTATTGTAGTGTTGTTGTGATGACTGTGCAGTGTTCAACATTATCACCGTAACTAATTTCATTAATGCAGGATTTCGTTGCCTTAAATCAGTTGGCCACTCAGATTTATACAGTTGTCCTGATAGTTATTTACAATGTTGACCAACACAACAGTTCGCGTAGCGCATTGTTTCTTCCGGTTCTCGACCCCTTGGCATTTATGTGTTGGCTACGTTCATGACAAAAGCTGGTCAGCGAACGCGATAGGTTTGAGAATGGCGCTTAAACGAACATATACTTTTGCTCTATGAAATATTTACGGTTACTATATATTAGTAATTTCACAGTCAAGGTTTATGGATGAAACACTGCAAGAAAAACACTGGCATGACTTAATCGTTGTTGTTTCAAGACGTAGATAAATATTGAGCAACATGGAAAATGTAGACGCATTAAAAAAGCACTATAAGAACTTAATAGGTAATTTTGTGCGTACTCATACATCAAATTATATATTGCATAATTCTATTCCTAGCCACTCATATACTAGATGACATAAACTATAAAAACATGTATGATATAAATGTAGTAAATCGCATAAAAAACGAAGTCAGTTAAATTCCATTCGTGAGATTGATGAAACATTTTATGGTCTTAACAAGCAGATCAGCTACAGAGAAAGTGATATACTAACGGATTGGGGAATTGTAAAATGGTGCTAAGACGGAACAATGTTAGAAAAAAGTCACTGGTTAAGCGGCCCAGCAGTTGGCTCAAGCGCCAAAAAAGTCCCAGGCGTCGTTCACGACCTTCGAAGCTTGCTGGTGGAGATCCGGAAATGGCCCATCTACCCATAAAACGGGGCATCGATATGATTACAGACGACATACCAGAACTGACTATGCCGTTGCTAACCGATTTCGCCTTCGGAGTGCTATCGGCAACAGCACCATTCATTGTTCAGGCTGCTAGCAACATACTGTATTACATGCGTGATCCCTCTACCTTCAGCTAGTACGCGTTCTCAAGCTGAAAGCTCATATCTCCTGTGCTTCTACAATGCATTTATCTTGATAGCGTAGCACGCTTCAACAACAACATGTCGAGCTTTTGTAACAACGCGGGCTGTCGTGATAAATAATATTTATCGGCGCAAAATTATAAGTAAAAAATATTTCACCGTGAAAGGAAATTTAGTACCTATGTTTGTAGCGAAGTGGCAGGTAGATTACATGTAGCAGGGAATCTGTGGTGTGTGAATGTATGAAGTTTACAGGTGTTATTATTAAAAGCCTGTCTACATTTTTAGATTACACCTTTTTCATTCAGGATTTCTAATTTCACTGTGCTATGCTTCGTGGACTTCTAGTACATCTCATTCCCCTACCTTTATAGTTTATTATGGGTGTGACTCTCCTTTCACATGAGGTTTCCGTTCATGACCATAACGATTTTGTGCCGGTTAATAGAAGTTAATAGAGATTTTTCCTGTTAAACAGTAACGGTAAATGATACGCTTTTCCTGTTAAACAATAACGGTAAATGATATGCTTTTCCTGTTAAACAATAACGGTAAATGATACGCATATATGATGCATAATGCGGTAAATGATAATGATTTAACGGAGCTGATATGGTACCCTCTTGTTTTACTTTAACGTATTTACTAAAGCATGTAGGGTATCCAAAATAGTTGTACAATTAGCCCTGACCTATACGAAAAGATTTCTCGGAAAAGTTCTCTGGGCAGAATTTTTATGATTTTTTATGCGGCACAGCCTGTACTTCATCGTCATCCACTTCTTTCTGGTAGCTGAAACGTGGCTTCTGGTAGAATTTTTTTTTTTTTTTTTATTTATTCAATTTAGCTCTAAAATGGACAAATCAATTACGACAAACGCCATCAGATACTGCGTACTACCCTTCAGTTCGCGTACGATCGCCGTTATCTCAGTTATCATTTGCTTAGTGGGAAAATGGCCAAAATAAGACAATATTATTAGTGATGAACTAGTTTAAGCGATGCACTGGTTTATTCTACGACAGGATTCGAGCCAAGTGTCAACAGTGAAGAAAACGAAGAGCCTTTTACGTGCCACGTGTAAAATCAAACCACCTAAATTAAGCCTAAAAATGAATTTGTAGGAAACACTAAGAGTTCCAGACACTATTTTCCGATCGACTTTATATAATGTAATATTATTATTATGCCTGACAATTACGCTGCGCTTTTGATTACGCCGATCTCTTGTTTATACTATTTTGAATTTTCATCCATTTAATATAACCGGCACCGGTAAAGCAATCAAAACGTTTGGTAGCGTGACTTTGTTATTTCGCAATGATGAATCCCTTCGACATACGCAGCGGGTGTAACTTCACTTGAGTCAGATGAATTTGCTGTTGAAGGCCGAGCGCCCACTTTCAAATATTTTCATTAGTCATGCGATTAGCTTTACTTCCTGCCTTTGCTATACGGTCTCTCTGTGTATCCGCTTCTCTGTATTCTACCAAGCACATGCTACTTGACAACTTTGTGACTGGTTCCGAGCAGAACTCAATGTTGAGTTGCGCTGGGTGCTGAGTGCTGATTATATAGCATGAGCGCCTTTCAACTTGCGCCATCTCTATCTCGCGCTGTACGTTGGCTTTCTTTCTCACACTGTTGCCTGGAGCCCTGGTTTACCCTCGCTTCGGACGGCCCTCGCCTGGCCCCCTCTCGGGTCACCATGAACGCATGCGGCGATGACGATGTTTCGTTTTGGACTCACTCTCTTGTTCATTCTCACCGTCTTTCCTATTGTTCCACATTTGCTTGCTTTGTTCTCGCCCATGTTGTTCTATATTGTACAAATACGACCGCCATACTGATGGTGTCGACTGCTGTCGTTGACTCGCTCGCTGCTTGCTTCTGCCTGCTGAAGCTCTGTCGACTGCGGAATGGAGGAGTGTGACTAGTTATGCTACTACCGTGGCTCTATCGCCACCATAACCGCTGCCGCCGCCGCCGCCGCTGCCGCTGCTGGTGCTACCGACCGTCTCAGCAAAATGGCGAAGCAGTGCTGCCACTGCTACTGCTGGGTTTTGGCTGAGAAGAGGAGGTAGGCAGACGAGCCGTCACAGCACTGACTTTAGTGGCTTTAAAGGCGTGCTGATCGTAACAGTAGGAGCAAACGCCAATATTAATGGCTCGAACTGCTTCTTTATCTAAGATAAATATATAGGGATGCATGGCAAATGTCGGCAAGCTGAGTTGGTTTGGTGAATGATTCTTATGGCAAATTTTGACGGAACGTTCGCGCGTGCTGTGGTTAGTTGCCGTGGTGACAGTAAGGAGGACTGCACATTGACTCCTTTTACGCCTGCTGTTAGTGTTCGGGAGATAATATTCATATCGCCGTCAACTCTCAGAATAGCTACTGCCGAACGCTTGCTTGCGGAAAGATTTTGAGGATAGGAAGACAAGGACCTGCTAAATCGACCTGTATATCCCACTGCCTGTGAAATGAATGAAAAAACTGACTGGCGACAACTCCCGGCATAGAACTGGCCTCTGAGCCTCTGTGGTGAGGCTCAGAGTCGGCGCCACCGTCCTCGATCTATGCTGGTGCGTGTGTTACGAGTAAACGTGGAACGTCATTTGTGTGTACGTTTGGATGACGCACATCCATGTGTTCAAAACCGTCCTCGTCGCACTAAATGGGAGCTGGATAGCGGCAAAAAAACGGTCGATAGGGTACAGTTCCTGTACGGTTAGCTGTCTTCGCCAATTTACAGGGGCACTATTCTGTAACAATAGCACAGCAGTGACTATAGCTTCTGTGGATAAGGGCCAGAAAAGAACCAGAACCAGTCAGAAAATCACACTCATGATGGAGGAGATAAGAACACGGATGCCACAGCTGATATTCATGTGAGCTTCAAAGCGATTTCTTACATTCAATCAATTGTCCGCGTCACGATCTGTGCCGGCATTGTTTGCTGTCGCAGAGCTTTGTTGCGAATGTCCAGTGTTCCGCGCTCGGCCTGATTGATAACTGATACTGAGGCTTGATTGAGGAAAGAGGCGGGAGAGAACACCGGCGCTAAATGCCGGGCCTAGTGTGCGATACCTGCTATATAAAAATGTGAGGCATGCGTAGATACGTGTGGCCTATAGATGTGTCCCTGCCCAACAGGACACCGCATCAGAAATATCACAACAACGGCAGGATCCGAAAAGTGATCAGAATCGTCAGAGCAACATTATCGACGGGTCAAGCAATATTCCGAAGAAAGGGTCAGCTTGTAAGGTTTGTCCGTGTGTGCCCTTACTACTACACACAGCCGAAGCGATCCGTGCGAAACTCTATGCAGCCACCTGCAGAGTAAATGACCAAATAAGCAACTGGGGAACGTCGGCACCGATCTAAGGTGAACACCTCTCACAAAGTATCTATCTCGATGTTGATTTCGTAGAACGTAGTAACGTTCAAAATTGATGACCACTTAGACCGCAATGTCAAAGTTATCCCGCTCATGTGAGGGCTGCTGCCGGCAGGTAGTAGACTGTCGTCTGGTTCCCGCCGCTTTTCCCGGACCGAATCAATGGTTTCGACGGAACGGTTTCTCGCTCCCATTACATCCGTTTCAGCTGTTGGCTTGGTGTCTGTTGAGTGTGTTTGTGTTTCTTTACTATTCAGCGCTAATACCCAATGTCCAGGACGGTCCGAAGCGTCTATGGCTTACAGTTCTGATGTCGATTTCATTGGCGATTCATATTTTTTCGCATCTCATCTCATCGGCAATAAATCCCGCTGACTACAATGTTCTCGCGAAGAACTTTGCCGGTCGCGGCACATTCGACCGATCAAAACACAAACATGTTATCGAGAATCAGTACTGCTATATATGCGAGACAAAAGTTGGCGCCAAGAGCAAACACTGCTCGGCATGCAACAAGTGCATAGGTGAATTCGACCATCATTGTAAATGGCTTAACAACTGCGTCGGCGTTCGAAACTATCGATGGTTTGTCGTCTGTGTTACCTCTGCGCTGGCTTGTTCGTTGTTTATACTGGGCCTTGGGCTGCGACTGTTAATTGAACACTGCCGTTTACTGGCCGTCCTTAAAGAAGCCAAATTTCAGCAGGCAGCTTCTAACTGCACATCTGTGTACGGAAATGTCGGTATTGGGAGCAGCGATCGCGCAGGTCAGCTGTTATCATCATTGATTACGCCGCAGTTACAGGCAGAACGGGAGCAACAACAGTCTCGAGTTCTTTCTTTGCCGTCGGAGAATCCTTCTCCGAGCCTCGAGCAACTGCCCACTGTTGCGGTGCCTCTCGCTGTCAACTGTACGCTTGTGTCGTCCCTTGTGGAGCAGCGATACTTACTTCACATCAAGATAGACTATGGCCTTTACCTCTTTCTACTGGTGATCTGTATCGTGCTCGCGCTTCTGGCCGCAGCCCTTCTAGCCCATCTGCTTGCATTCCATATGTTTCTCTGGCGTAAAAAGATGTCGACGTACGAGTACATCGTGTCAAAGCGTGAGAGAGCGCAGCAGGAGCAGCTAGGCTACATGGAACGAACTGTGTGTTGCTGTTTCAAATGCAAGCAAAAAGTCAATCAAATTCGACCATCTTCGTTGGCAAATGTCGAGGACACAATTCGGCCGGACTTGGCACCGGGTCAACAGCAGCAGCAATGCGACTTCGAAAAGGCCGACAAAGAGAACCTAGCTCGAAAAGTAAGTTCGAGCCATTCACAGGTCTCACGAATGGCAAGCAATAAATCACACACATCGTCCGTGATCACTCACGAAGACTTTAAACGAAAAGGTTCGTTCGCTGCCGGCGACGTGTACATAGGAACGCCGACGGTCGACAAGATCATGGCGGATGAGATGAGTAGGCGGAGTGCATCGCTCCACCGTCAGGAGTCTCTGGTCAGGCAGGATTCGCTGCCGCAAGATCCTCCAGAGGACGTCCGACCGGGCTCGTTAGATGGCAGTCGCTCAGGACGATCTGTTTCTCAGCAATCGCTTAACAAAGCGCCGCAACAGTTCCCGTCGACGGACAGCGTTCATCTACCAATCGAAGCGGATGTTGTCATTTGCCAACGTGATGGTGAAAGCGTCCACGAAGCACTCAACCGAGGTCACTCGATGATAAACCTCCTGCCGCAGAATTCGACGGATACGCTATTAGAGTACGACGAAGAGGTCTCGATGGTGGCCGGTGGAGGCGGTGACAGCACATTAACGGAGAAGTGGCGTAACCACGATTCAGGCTATTCAGAGAAGACGAAGAGAGGCTCGATGTCGGATGATCTCGATCTTGAAGTTGTCAACGTAAAAGCTGACCAACGAAGAGGTCCAAACCGCAGCGGCGAACAGGAGATAAACAGCCACGAGTGGCCAGACCCGGCAGAAGAAAATCAACAAAAGCAGCAACACGGGCAACAAGTACATGATGGAGAGTTGTTGGAAGCTGCTGCAAACGGTGCCAAGACTCCAAAGGAGCAAAAAGTTGATCCACTTATGCTCAAAGCTATGGAACAGGCAATTCTGCGACCTCAGTCTTTGCCGGTAAAGCTGTCGCCGTTAATTGGTAATAACCTTAGTCCTGTTAATGCTTGAGAGTATGTAGCGTCGTAATTGTTCCGTGACACAGCAATTGTTGCCCTTACATCGTTCAGGGCGTTATAACCAAGGAGATGTATACAAGATCATTTAATTACTATTGAGTTGACGCGATTGCCGCGGACACCGATTAATAAAAGAGCTTGTGTTGTATCGCACGTGTAGATTAACGCAGAAACGACAGGGTGGTATCGTAGCACTACACACGTCTGTAGTTTTGCAGCATGGATCGGTGTGTGATGGTGGCAAGCACGAGATGAGTGCCGATACTGAAATGAAATCGAACGACCAGTCATGTGTAAGGGAAGGATAACGATAACACCGGTATTTGAGAAAGATGCAACGTTTGACGGTTGAGTAGCCCGTAACCACAGGCAAGATTCTTTTACTCTGCAAGGAATACTCTTAAAGTTACAGGTCTCTTTGAGATTTTACTGTATGTGTATATCCATAGATTTCGATTATTATTATAACGATCCATTGCTATTATTAGGATGGTAGTACAATATGAGGAAATATATTTAAACAAGAATCTCTATAATGTCTGTTCCGGCGAGCAATCTACGTGGATCAAGAGGGTAAGCAAGAAACCTAGGCGTCTGTATGATCAGAAGTCTGCCATCGTCATGGACATAAGAAAGCAGGAAGGAAAAATACGAAGGAGTTGGACATACAAATGTAGATGGATTTTATAGTTCTGCACTAAAGATGAGTTTACATTTAAACTACAGTTAAATGTGAACTATGCATTATAAGGACAAGCGTGATTTTCGGTCATAGCTGATGTCCTCCTATTAGAACTTACTCTTTGGTAGAGGTCCTGCGCTCCTCACTGACCTCCGATCCAATCAATAGTGGAACAGACGGAAGCGTTGAAGATTATCGAAATGTAAGCCATCCACGCACTATCTACGATCGATTTTGGACGTGGGATGGTTCGTACATATAAGAAAAGGGTAGGAGAGTGGCCTCTTCGGTGAGCGTGAATGAGTGATTGCTGAGTAAGGCATGCCATTACGTGAGATGTATACATGCGTATGTAGGTGACCAAGATCTGTAGTAATAATGACATGAATCGCACACGCGGTGACATTATAAGCAGCCGTATACATCGTGGTAGGTGAGAACAGGCATATTAGGTGCAACCCAAACCAAATGGAACTTTGCAACGTTAAAATTCTATCATTTACATATAGAGTAGAGCTCGAGAGAAATACAGTCATTGATGTTGTACGATCACTGCTACCACAATGCCGCCAAAGCAATGATCTATTACTAGCTATTGACAATGTAGTTTGTGGCCTTCTCTTTGAGAGACGTTTAGGGAGTGGAAACGTTCTGATTGACAATAGAGAATTAATTGTACGAAGGGGATGAGCCCTATGAATGTAGACGGCACAGCAATGACAAGCACCTGCGTTGACTCTGGTCAGCTACGGAGGGAAAACTCGTCATTTTGGGTGATATAACAAGTGTCTGTAGGCGATAACAGAAACAAGGAGAAACTACGCTAGGGAATAGTGCAAGGAGTTCATAAGGATCGTATTGACGACGTCAAATGGCGACCTAAGACTAAAGCAGCTACGCATACGTAACAATAAGATATCAATATAGTTTTTCTACTACAGCTCTTATATATATATATATACTAAGAATCATAGAGTATATTAGTATTATAGCTACGAGATATTTTGAGAATAGGATAATAACAACAATACGAATGGTATTAATTACCGTAATGGTTAGACAAGGAGTGGATGAATAATACGAATGACAAGCACTAATTATTATGCTGGTGAAATAGTTCAGTAGTAACTTTGGCCACACACATTTACAGTATTGTAGGTAAATTACGTTAAAAATTAACAACATTCTAATAAACACAGTGACAACGTAACGACCTCGTAGAATATATCTGGACAAAGACTAGCTCCTACAGTCGCTGCATTTATCGTAGGAGGAAACATGCGACTTACTACATTCGAAACAATAGACGCGTGTTAAGCCAAAAATTTAGTTGTTTAATGCACAAAATCCTAAAGCATCTATTAGAGGTGATAAAATCATGTTTCTTGTTACTTCTTATTTATAGCCAGGAAAATAAAATGCTAGAACATTTTATATATATGAACAACGTGATTTAACGTACTAAAAGTGGGTTGTCCTGTTTTCATTTTTGTCTCTTTACTTTTCGTCAATAAATTATAACAGAGTTAAGCTCTCCCGCGTATTTTCCGACAAATAAGCTTTGTAGACAATTTGCGGCACGTACAGCAATCAGTGGAAATCTTCAGCTAGGGAAATTAGGAGTTAACTATAATCCGGTGACGTGTTAGTAGTGAAGTGCAAGATGAACACGAAGACTCACTTTTAGGCTCTGTAGCAACTTATCCATGCACTCATTTAATCTCAATCTTCTAATCATCTTTCTGCTACATCTACTACACCTCACAACTGTACGTACATACGAACATTATATAGATGATACAATCGATTACAGTTCCATCTGTGAAAACGTCCAAAGCGATGTCCGTCACTGCATAATGATCCTAAATAGTCGCTCTGTATATGTAGTTCGTACTGGAGGCAAGGAAAACGAATTGTCGACGTTTCTCTACACAACACTCTCCCTTGTATTTAGAAACATTAATAATAAATTATGTGGACAAATTGTCTACGATTAAGTAGTATATTAGCCAGATACCTATTAAACATATATTATGCATAGAATTTTATTCATTTCATATTTTTGTATTCGACGATGTTTCGACATGGACATTGTTAAATACCTCCCTGTCTTTTTATGTATCCTATAGCGACCAATAAAAGGAAAAAAAAAACTTTATTTATTCACCAAGGTTTATCTTGGGTTTTTTTTTAATACCTCAAGACACAAACAGACTTTCACACACATATGTAAAATATTCAGGATCGTCCCATTTCCGATAACGAACACATAGTCACGTGATATATAGTAAAGCTGAACTAGTTCTGATTGAGTTTCCATAAACTTCGCTAAGACTCTATGTAGCCCCCACACGAAAATTAGATTCTTGTTGACTATGCTTTTTGTGTCAGAACACCGTATTTTTTGGATTTTCTAAAATAATTATAAAAAATTCACTTTTGATAAATGGTGGAATTTAGTCCATCGAATGAATATATATATATATATTGGTTTCTTGTTGCTTTTAGCTTAAATTCAAATGTGATGAACTGAAGCATGCAAAGGTGAAACGTAATCTTTTTAGTAGAAAATACATCCAAAAGTAAGTGGTCTTTTATTGCAATCTTGAGTTTAAACCGAAGATGTTGATCTTACAAACTAGATAAAAAAAAAAAACTGGTTCATTGGCAATATGACAAACTAATATGTCATGAATGTCGTTCTTCCGTTGGTTAAACAATAAGCTGTTGTTAGGCTTGTCCTCATAACAAGAGTAAATGCTGATTTTAGCTAGTCCCTTTCAGGAAAGTCTATGAAATCTAACATTGTGCTTCTTGCGTCTGCTATAAGATTACCAATTTCGTTTTTAGTTAAAAATGACTAATTGGCGTAACTGTTTGTTGGTTAGCGGTTCATGCTCTTATTAACGCTAACCATCTTCTGCTTTAATCTTGTACATAATTGATTTACTCTATTGTTCTTTTTGTTTTTAGTGACCATAAAAACTAAAATTTCAGAACATGGAAACACTATGTAGTGCATTCAGAGTAATGCCAGAGGCTTTTGGATCCGCTAACTTTCACCGTGAAATGGGGCGTGAGCATGATCTACCTACAGTTTACGTTTCATCAGCATCTATTATGGGCCTATTTGTACACAGGGATAGATGTACCAGTTAGAGGAAATTAGGTAATGCCATTTATTTTTTTTTGCATTTTTCTATGCATTAAAACAATTCAAGAATGAATAAAGAATGCGTTTGTTAAGCATAAACCTACTTCAAGGCTTGTTACTTCGATGTTCATGTATTTCGACAATTTATATTGGTGCTTTATTTTAGTATATTGACTTGCGTGTATTAAGATTCGTAGTTTCTTGCTAAACTAAGCAAATAATCCTTAAGCAGTATGTCCTCCATTAAGCACATAAAATTTTCCTTTACAAACGCCCGCTAATGGTAAACGTCTAAGATGACTTTGAGAGTTTGTGTATTAGTAATGGGCCGGCTCATCCGACATTGTTCTTTACTTTTTTTTGGAGCTGGGCTTATTAGGCGATTGCTTATTTAAGCAAAACATGCTAAACCCTCATTACTCGTTGACAGGCTGTAGTGTCAGACCAAAATCAATGTTGTTCACTACTGCGTCGCCTTCAGAAACTTGACAACTCACTGTTGACTGACTGCTTCTGCTAGCTTTCATGTCAGGCCAAAAGAAACAGCGTCAGCAGCTCACATGGTAACCTGTAGCTCAGTAGGCGAGGCATGTAGGATGCAGATAGTATAAACAAAATTGTATTGGAACCTTTACGATTGTGCCTGACTTGTTTGCGAAATCTGCTTAGCCGGAGCTGTAGGCGCTTTTCTGTCCACAGCCTATGGATATAATGCACCCTGTCCCACTGAACAATGATTGAACAATTTTTCTGATAATACTATTGTTCTATGGCTGTCGAAGGCCTGTTCCACATTTCGCTGGCGGTGATGAAGATGAAGGCCGGGCCTATTGAAACTGCCAATTTGTTCTGCAAATTTACACATCTACGTACCACAAAACACGTTAGGACGGGAATACTGTATATCCGATCGCACAAGGGAAAGTCAAATTTGCACGAGGTTGTCACACTGCGTTAGTGTTAATCATTAAACGACCTATTTTAGACAATTTATTTTGCCCCTTGATTCTAATCGATTGAAAATTATACTGATATAATAGTAAACAAGCCAATGCACATAACAGTCAATGAGAGTAGCTAGATTTTTAACGTTGATTGCCACCCTACAGTTTTAGCATCATTGCACG